AAAAAGTATAAAAAGGCACAGAAAGATGCAGAGCCTGTCTGCCAGCCCGTCTGTGAGCATTCACGAGGCCCACCAGCCCTGTCAGCTCTGACACAGACCCAGAGTCCCCGGGGCTTCCTGGTCAGAGGCGAGTCCCCCAGATAATCCTCTGGGTTTGCCCATGTGGTATAGGCCATGGTGCTTTCCTGTAGTATAAGTGTTGGGACTGTACAGGAGAAATGATTCAGGGGCAGGGTGACCCAGGGCCATGGGGGCAGTTTGGGACCCAGAACTGTGATCTCATAGAGGGGAAGGGAGACGGGCCTCAACTGGGAACCCCAGGGCTGATGGGACGGGTGATCCAGGAGCAGCGAAGGGCTGTGGGGATCTCAGGGTGAGAGGCCTGGCTAAGTGGGGCTCACACATCCCTGGTTGGCAGTGGTGGAGGAGGAGGCTGAGTGGATCCAGGTAGTAGAGGGAGTCTGTGGGGGCGGGGACGCTCCTACCTTAGCATAGCTGGGCTGCAGAGCCGCACCCAGGCCCACAGGCAGGGGCTGGGGTGTGAGTAGACTCTAGGGGTGGTTTCTGGAAACTGAAGCTGTGGGGAATGTTGAGAATACTTGGCCTCTCTGAGCTTTGCTTACATAGATGGGTCCCAGAGAGCCCTTGCTGGTCCCCAGCAGCCCAGAGGCTCCGGAGCGGCCTCTGCACACTGACTGCTTCATAGAAGGGTGCAGCATGTGGATTTGAGCCCACTTTGCTGTGGCCAGGGCAGCAAGGACCCTACCTGCTCAGACAGCTTTCTAGAATGTGGGGTTGGGTGCATTGCTGGGGTGCTTGCTGCCTGAGATTGCTGAGCAGGGCTGTCGGCTTTGGGGGCTTTTCTAGCCTTCCTCCCGGGTAGAGAAGCAGAGTCTGGGGCTGAAGTTACGCAGAAGGGGAGCTTCGCCTGCAAGGCTTGCTGGCATTCTCAGTATCTATGTCTCCAGCCATCAGCTGAGAAAGATGTGGCCACAGCTGGGAGCAATGGTGACAGTGATTCTTGCAGCCACTGGTTTATTAACTTTTTTCTTTATAAAATCACCAAGTGCTTTTATGTTCCCTGACCTCTCAGGCATTGGGCTTCAGCAATGATCCAGCATAGCAAAAGCTCTTACCATTTGGG